ACTTTCTAATTGTTTCATTCGTATCTTGCTTAAGTGGCTTGCAGTCAGAGAGCATACATCCCCGTTCCTCGCATTCATTAGCGGTCAAGTAAATCCGTTGATGATTGGGACTGAGGTGATATTCTGTACGATACCCCATCTCAGTGTACAGAGCCTCTGCACTCAGTCTTTACCGCATCGTTTGAGTTCTCCTTATGTGGAGTTATTGCTATATATTGATATTCTTAGTAACATGTTTTATTTCTTAAAAATTACTTCCCTGATTTGGAACAATTTAAAGTTGACAGAGATTTGAAGTTTATAGGACTGTCCTACCAAAAGGCAAATAAGTTATTCAGTCAAGTGCTCACTGAGTGTCTGTCTTATGTTCTGTTCTAGGCACTGAGTATACAAAAAAAACCCCAGAATACTAGAGGATTTACAAAAACACTTTGTCCTCATGGAGCTGACATTCTAGTGGAGATGTTTCTGGACAATTTTTCTCAAATTTAAGTTATCAGGAACTTTTTATAAGGAAAGATAAGAACGGATGGCCAGATTTCTGACTGAGGCTTGACTAGTGCTGTGTGCACAGCAGGTGCGTCTTAATGATCATTAACTGACTGGTCACAAACCCGCAAGGTGGAGCGGCCTCAGAGAGGTCAAACATCCTAACCTCTTAGCCAGTTTAGAATTTTTCTCTGTGGTTACTGAAAGATGCCCACTCAGCTTCTGTTTTAATACTTGTAGAGAAAAAAACCTCCCTGTTTTCTGACTTGGACAATCACATTTTTCTTCAGCTCTTATTATTAGGAAGTTCTTTCTTCTTTTGAGTAAAAGTGTTCTGCTGTTTAGTTTTGAGCCATGTATACCAAGTCTGTTCCTGCTGCACGACAGCCTGTTGAGTATTTGACGAAAACCTGTTTCCCTCAGTTTCTCTTTTTTAGGAAAGCACCCCTATCTTCAGCTCTAACTTAGTGACCGTGAACTAACTGTATTTCAGGTACAGTCTGACCGATACACAAAACCATAGGATTTGATTTAGGCACTAAATGTCTGGCTCTGTTGCCTGAGGCTGTCTTTGTTTTTTAGGTGACTGGTTTGGGGGACCCCAAGACCACACCCCTTGGTTTGAGATTCACTAGGAGGACTGACTGGACTCAGCGTATAGTCATACTCAAAACTCTGGTTGATTACAGTGAGAAGATGCAGAACAAAATCAGCAAAGGGAAAGGCCCATAGGGTGAGGAGTGGCGGAAGCCAGGCACAAGCTTCCAAGGGTCCTTTTCCAGTGCGGTCACACAGGATGTGCTTAATTCTCCCAGTAATAGGTTGTGACGACACAGGTTAAAAGTTGTCTGCCGGGGAAGCCCAGTAGAGACCTGGTGCCTACGGTTTTTATTGGGGCTGGTCATGTAGGCACCCTCTGCCTCGCACAAATGAAAATCCCAGACTCCCAGAAGGAAAGCAGGTGTTCAGCATGAGCAACATTGTTTGAACGGTTTGGGCGCAGCGAGCTACTCTTAGTAGGGAATCACGGGAACCCTCTAGAGAGCCAAGTTCCAGATGCCAGCCCACGACCGACCGGCCTTGCAAGTAGGATAGCAGTCTCAGGCTGGCTATGTTAACTCTTTCCTGCCAGGAACCATGTTACATTCTTAGCTTGCTTTGAACTTGGATTCACTTTCCTGCTTAGATATTTATTTACTGACTCTGCTGCAAATAAGTTTCACCATTCTGGCTTTTTATAACCATGGATGAAGTGGTTTGGATGGATTGGTCATGTAGAAGTCAGGTTCTGACAATGCTGGAGAGCTGAGTGTACCCACGCCTGCCCTCGTGGGGAGCGGTGCTGACTTCCCATTCTTCCTTCATACTTTGAAGTCCAGGGTTTTTTTTTCCCTGGAGGCTGCTGCTGGGTGGGAGTGGAGTGGTGGGGGTGGTTCGTACCCTTCACTCTTTTATGCTGTGGGGTCTGTAACTGTCTTACCTTTTTCTTTCTTGTCCAAAGTAGAAAGGTACTTAAAACCAGAAGTATATGTCAAATGAGTCGAACTCTAAAACATATTTTGTTTATATATGTTGTTAAACATTTCTGAAATGCTCTAAAGAGCATCCTCTAAAAGTATTTATTATGGCTTTCATTTTGATGCATGGCTATCTTAGGTGCTTTACAAAAAAAGTTAAGTGGACACAGTCTCTATACCTTGAGAATTTATAATGCATTCCACTGACATGGACAACCATTGGAAATATTAATTGAACATGACATGAAATCTGTATGTATAGATAATAAAGAGGTAATGCTTAAATCTAATATTTGAGAACAACTTGACTGAAATTGCAAACAAAAATTTGTTCTTTTGAATTCGCCTGACCTGCAGACAGTGCTTCTTCTGTGAGAATAGCGTAAGAGAGTCTAAAGTCCTCTCCAGGAGAGAGAAGCAGGAATCAGGGCGTCCTCATCATTCCACCTCAGCCTTAGCCACAGCTCCTCACTCAGGTTCTTGCATAAACAGAAGCCGCTCACGTCAGGTGGAAGACAAACCCCTGAACGCGAGTCGGCGTGAGCTCGTCCTCCGCACACCGCTTCAGGAAGCTCTTCGTGTCAGTGGTTCCCCCACCTCCGCGTGCGGCCCCTGCTCTGTGATAAACATTCTCATTTAGGAAACCCACACTGTGACCTTTCGTACGTGCCCAGAATTTCATGCTTCCAGGAAGTTGCCCAACATGTAGCAATTGAAGTAGCTTAGAACAGCCTTAGCGCCCACCGCACAAGAAAACCCTCCCGCATACAGGCCCGTGCGTTCACACGGTGGTTGTCCATCCACGCAGGCCCGCTTGCCTCACTCCAGCACCTTAAGATCATTTTGTCGATGACGTTCATTAGAAGGTGGTTCACTATGTATACTTGGACCATTTCTCACCTACTGAGATAGTCTTGTTCTGAGCCGTATTCTCAACATAAATTTTCTTCACTGCGCTTTTTTCTGGTAACCTGTTTTCTGAATCTTTTTGTTAGTCCTGCTTTGTTGTTTTAGCTTTTGATTTTGTTTTATTTACACGTGTAAAGTAGGCAATCAGAAGTGTATTTCAGCTGAATTCTGACAGTGAAACAGAAAAAAGCTGTTTGATAGTCTGTCAGTTCTTGGGAAAACCACACCTGCTGGGGGTTTGGTGACTTCTTGCAAGAATAAAGAGGCCCCATCTCTAAGTCACATTGGTGTGGGCCTAGTAGGGCTTAATCCTGGGTCCTGTCGCACCCAGCTGGCATCAGGGATCAAAGATTGTGGTTAGAGGGAAAATGTGGCAAAATAACTAACGAGATATTTAGGGCCCCAATTGGCATGCTGAAATATTGATCAATCTTAGCTGTGTGAAGTGCTTTCTTATCAAGCGTGAAAGCAGTATGTGGGGTCTTGTTCAAGTAAAAGACTGATGCCATGAGCCACACAGAGTTGAGTCCCAATACTTTCGAATCATACTTTATATATTATACTTTGGGGATTTTACTTTCTGTTAAAAACTGCTGATAGTGATTTTTCTCTTTAATCTAAAATCAAAGTTTCTTTTCTATAACAATCAATCTCGGAAATCCTTTAGTCTAGCAGCTCTCTAACTTTTTGGTCCGCAGACCCCAAAGAGATTTCAGTTATGTGGGTTTATATTTATAGATACTTACTGTTTGAGAAATTAAAACCAAGAAATTGAAAAAAATACATCAGTTTTTAAGTTCTTTTCAAATGAGTTAAGTAAACCCACAACATGTTAACATGAATATTTTATGAAAAGTGACTTTTTCAACACACAAAAAATCACTTAACGAGAGTGGCATTGATTGACATTATTGCATATCTCTTAATGTCTGGCTTAATAGAAGACAGTGGATTTTCATGTCTGCTTCTGAATTCAGTCTCTTGCAACATGATCCTTTCAAGTCTATGAAGAGAATTTGACATTCACAGATACAGAGTGGAAAAGGGAGAAGTATTTTAATAGCCATTTCCGTTAATTGTGGGTGTCTGTCTTTGATGCTGTACCAGAATTTGACAAGTGACAATTTCTTAAAGGTTAGTTGCAGTGTGGAATCTGAAACTGTATTAATTAATTTTATACCCTTACATTAAGATTCATTTGTCTATCTTGTACTTTGAATGAATCTTGAAGTCACAGGCTCATTTCATTCTTTTTTGAGGAGGAAATATCTGCTGAATACTAAAATCTGAATAACTATAGTTTGTCTTTCAGTCGTTCTTTCAAGTAAAAATGACACGCCTGCTTGCATCTCTCACAGTGGCGCACAGTTTCTGTAGGACGGCCATCTTGCTTTGGTTTACGTAATGCCGTATGACTATTTTCCATTTCATCACGTAGAATATTAAAAATAAGTCTTCTCAGGGGCCAGATTTAATACAGTTAATACTTTTTAACTGTTTCATCAAGGACATTCTTAAATCTTTTTTTTTTTTTTTTCTGTGAGTATGGTAATAAGGGATCCAGTGATTAATAGTACTGTTTGGTGTAACAGCCTTGATCCATGCCAAGGCACAGCGTTTCATCCACCACGGCTTTTGCACTGTCAGTGGAAGAGTTAAGAGGAAAAAGCAAATCACGTTTTAGGGGCCTTGAGAAATGCGGAACACTTGCGGAGAGCAGCGGGGATGGACATGTTCTCATTGTGTCACGGCAGATCTGGAGCAGCAGCCATCTGTTTCCCAGTGCAGAGGAAGCCACTCTTTTCCTCGGAACCCTGGATACTGTCTTCCTCTTCTCCTATGCCGTGGTAAGTTTTAGGATTCCAGGGTTTTAAGTTGAGGAAAGATGTCAAAGGAAATGACTTCAAGCATGTGGAAGTGTGTAGGAGATTTTGCATTTGCTGACTCAGGAGGGTTGAGCGTTGCTGACGTTTGTATTTTGTATCCTTGTCATCTGTCCATTCATTTGACAAATACTTATTGAGCACCTAGCGTATGCCAGGTACTTTTCCGGTCAGTGGGAATTCGTCAGTGGACAGCACAGGAAAAATCCCTACCTTTGTTAAGCTTCTATTTTTGGAGTGGGAGTTAAGAGGGACAAACAGTAATAAGTTGCTATAAAGAAGTAAATTGTAGAGTATGTTTCAAGGTGGTAAGCGCTCTGGAGAAAAAGAAAGCAGGGAAAGGGGAACGGAGGGCTCTGGGTGGGGGGCGTGATTTAAGCAGGATGGCCGAGGAAAACCTCCTGAAGAAGGGGATGTTTGAACAAAGACCTGGAGCCAGCGAGTGAGGTCAGTGTGTAGAGCTTCAGGCCAGAGGTACAGATTTCAGAGTCCTTCACAGGTAGATGAATTTTAAATTATGAGACTGGACGAAATCATCAAGAGAGTTGGTGAGGACAGGGAAGCGGTGTGAAGATTGAGCCGTGGGGCTTCTGGGAATTGGAGGGAGGGACGGTGAGGAATGGGCGGGCTGGGGGAGCAGTGGGGAGCAGGAGAACCTGGAGAGGGTGGTGTCCTGGGAGCCATACCCGGGTGGCGGGGGCTGACTCCCAGTCGGAGGTGGCCTTTTCGGAGCGGGCAGCCAGAGTCTCTGGTTGTAGGAAACGTCTGCGGTGGCTGCCGAGTTAGAGCGACACTTGGAACCAGGGAATTTGGGGAGCAGTCTGATCTTTTCTCCCCAGCCTCTTAATTCCTATCTCGAAAACGCGTCCAGTTATAAAAAAGCCTTTTCGTTTCGAATGTCCAGGTCATGTGAGACACTGGCTTAAAGTCCCAAAGTAAATGTCTAAATGTTTACTTGGCTGTTTATTAGAATATCTTTTCTTCAGAGAGGAAAGTTACAGACAGAGTTGGAACGGGTCTTAGGTCGGGTAGTCTAGCTCCTCGCCCTGGGCGTTTTCTGGGCAGAATCCCAGCATGTGGCCGTTGGACGTGGGCCGAGTGCTCCCTGTGAGGCTTCTCTTTGAGCCTTTTGTGACATATTTTAAGAAGCAGTGTAGTCCGGTGGACAAACAAGTTCTACCACCGTCAGCGCTGTGTTAAACTTGGTTTCTCAATGGTATTTAACCTTTTTTTGATACTTAGTTTCCTCATCTGTAGAGTTGTGAGGATAATACCTATCTATAGGGCTAAATAGACTTAGGAGGTAAAAGACAAGTACCATGAAAAATCAGCGATCATAGTTCTTAATATTGAGCTGCATGTCCTTCTGTAACCTCCAGCTGTTGGGAGCAACACAGAATAAATCGATTCCCTAATCTGAAGCATAACTGAGAGATTTTCTTCACCCCCTTTATTGTATGTAGCGTAAGACCATGAGAATGGCAGCTGTGGAACACGGAGTGTTCGCTAAAGCTGACACGTGCCTCATCAGTCATGAGGGAGAAGCATTCATTATGACATTTGTAATCTTAATTTTCTCTAATACAGATAGTCAATTTATTAGAAACACTTGTATCTGAATTTAGGTGTTTTTGTCAAGACATTTATTCATTTTATGTTTTTATGGAAGGAACCTAAAGTGTGTTGCCCTTAGCTCTTTGCTCTGCCTTGCTGCCATGATCTGAGCATTTTAATTCCTGCCACTCAGTGGGCGGAGAGCAGAAGGCAGAACATTTGTACCTGTGCTCAATTACTTGTTGTCTCTGCCTGCTTTGTGATGTCACGAAACCCCAGGGTCAGATTAAACAGGCAACACATGTGCTCCAGAAGCTTCTGTTCTGCAGGACGTGCTGTAACACATCTTAATTCAGAATGCAAATGGCAAAGAGGAATCCCTTTGGGAAAGCAGATAACTGATGTTTAGTTCTTCTATTCTAGAAAATGTAATGTATTGTATGCTTGTTTTATTGGAATTATTCTTGTGTCATCCCCCGCCCCTGCCAGTTTCCTCTTAGGCAGTTAGGGGATCAAGTAGAACATAAATTTGCAGAGTCAGCATGTCTTGGTACATGAGATGTGTACAGTACAGTGTGCAGAAACCCATAGTCATTTCATGAAACGTTTGTGAGACCGATATAGACAGCTAGTCTAGCATGAGATTAGGATTTCATTTTAAGTAATCTCCGTATTGTTTGCCTCATTGACTTTGCGATGCGTCTTATTTTTTGCAGACTGTTGTTATTCAGCCCTGTAAAATAAAATGCTTTGTTTTTAGGGCCTTTTCATCAGTGGTATCATTGGAGATCGGCTTAACTTACGGTGGGTTCTGTCTTTTGGCATGTGCTCTTCTGCACTAGTGGTAAGTTTGAAAGTTTAAAAGTTATTATCTATTATTATTATTATTATTATTACTACTACTACTACTACTTTTAGTAGTATCAGGTATTTTAGAATCTCAGCAATCCTCTTACTTCTGTATGTAGAAGAGAATAGTAAAATGAATCTTCCGTTTTTGAGTACCTTGTCTGCCTTTTTAGTTAGCAGAGCCTTTTTAAGGTACGGTTCCGATCACACCCCTTCCTGGACTCTCCAGACCCTGGTCCCAGCCCACCTCCACAGTCATGCCTGTCACTTTGCTTCTCCACTCTGCCTGGCCAGACTAAGCTACTTTCCACGGTCCTATCAGGTTTCTTTCTGCCTCACCACGGCTGTTCCCGCTGTTCTTCCTGGCTCGAATATCCCTTTTTTCAGCTCTCCATAGTCTCGCTCCTGTCTCCTCCAAGTCACTGGCCAGTGACGCTCCCTTCATAATGCTTCACTTTGCTGAGCCCCCTCCCGGAAGTCGGCATCCCCCTCCAAGCTCCTGTGCTTGCGTTTCCTTGAAGACACGTCACGTTGTCTGCTGCTCAGCCTACTTATGCCTCACCTGTCCTGCTTTCCCTAGGAGGCTGGAGCACAGTGCTTAGGATCACAGACTTCCGGAGACCACACTGCGTGGGTTTAGTCCCTCTGCAGTTGCCTCGCTGTGATTTCTCTGTGCTTCAGACTCCTAATCTGAATCCTGCCGCCTAAGGCCGTAGTGAGGGCTGGATGAGTTACTGTGTGTGCATTCGGAACAGCACCTGACACAGTAAGTGCTGTAGAGGGCAAGATCCGTATTCAGTTCACCTTTGCTTGCTTATCAGGATCTAGTGAGTAAGTTTTATTGATTGAATGAAAGTATAGAGTTTAGATTCTCTTTTATTATTTTTTAATGTCTGCCATTCATGTATAGGGAAAAGTAGATTTTTTGGTGAACTTTTAGAGATTGAAGCACTTTCTTTATTCATAAGCTGCCCTACCACACATATATACATACTATTTTTAAACCAGGTTTAAAACATACTTTTTTTTTTACATTTTTTGAAAAATTACAGTATTTACATAAATTCACCCTTTTTAGTGTGTAGTTCTGAATTTGGAAAAAGGAGTATAGTTGTGTAAGTTTTGCTTATTCCAGACTGTCATTTAAATGGAATCACACAGTATTATGCATGCCCATGCCAAATATTCCCCAAAGAGACTTCAACTACAAATAAAATGTCCACTCAAGCAAAATGCCTGGGAAAAAAGCAGTCACACGAATGCTGCAGAATTACTGAGCAGGTCATTACTCTGATTCACGTAGTAGTTGCAGTGACAGTCATCGCTGGTGCTCCCGTCCTCACGACGTGCCTGGCACTGTTTTTACTTAAACTACCTGTGTGAACTCAGTACCCACAAGTCTCCGCAAACACAGGCCTGAGGAAGAGGAAATGGAAATACAGGTGACCCTCGAAAGACACAGCTTCGAACTGAGTGGGTCCCCTTACACGTGGATTTTTTCAATAAATACTGTAAATATATTTTCATTAGGATTTTCTTAATAACATTTTCTTTCCTTTAGCTTACTTTCTAGTATGAATATAGCATATAACACATATAACAAACAAAATGTGTGTTAATCGACTGTTTATGTTATTGGTAAGGCCTCTTAGTAGGCTGTTTGTAGTTAAGTTTTGGGGGAGTCAGAAGTCGTATGTAGATTTTGGCTGCGCAGGGGTCAGCACCCCTAACCCCGTGTTTGAGGGGTAACTGTAGATGTAAAAAGAGGTCAGACGACGAGGACTTTTTAGAGTCGAAGATGCAAGTTGGAAGGATGGTCATTAGTGAGTTTTATGCATTTGTCATCTCTGCCTCCTTGGTTGGTGGCGGTTTGGTGGGTGTCCCACTCAGTGCTGCTCTGAGCAGAAGCATCCGAAGAGTCGGCCACCCGTCTCTTAGGTCATCGAACGTCTCCTTCACGTAGTCTCTTCAGGCAGACACATGAGTGTGCTCAGCGGTGGAGTGTAGTCCAAGTGTCCATGTGGATGTTACATGTCCCTTCTTCTTCTTCTCTAAGGTGTTTGTCTTTGGCACGGTCACAGAATGGCTGCATTTCTACAACAAGTGGCTGTACTGCTGCCTGTGGATTGTGAATGGCCTGCTGCAGTCCACTGGTTGGCCCTGTGTGGTTGCTGTCATGGGCAACTGGTTTGGGAAAGCTGGGTATGCCGCTTTTTTCCTCCTTAGTTTCTCTTTTTAAGTAGTTTTAATATCGGATTCTTCAGACTCGTCAATTAACTCGAGCCCTTCGGCACAACCTGCATCCTCCCTCCCTTTTAGAAAGTTAGACTAGTTCAGGGGGTGTTTTGCGTGAAGCGTGTTGGAAAGGGTGCAGACCTTGGTGACGACCCAGCCCGGTCAGGCAGCCATCACGCTCCCGCTGCAGTCAGGTTTTGCGTGTGGCTCAGGCAGCGCGTCTCAGTTTTTTTCTTTACTCTCCCACTGGAGAACATAAATACCTCGTGTGCTGTCCCAACAATATCTTCTGTGGGTTTTGCCTTCTTTTCCCTTTTTTGAGACTCAGTGATCTTGTTTAATCTACTTAGATTAAAGATAAGGAAGCTGAGGCCAAAAGTGATCCACGGGACTTGCTGAGGTCACGTAACAAAGAGTCTAATAAGGTGCAGATGAAGAACGATAAACTCGGGGGCTTAGTTAAATTGGACATTTCTCCTTAAACCTTTAAGTCATTTTTCGAATGTATTCGAGTTTGTGTGTGTGGTGTGGGCAGAGGACAGGCACCTGCTAAAGTATTTTCTAGGCTACCGGGAGGGAGAGCCGTACTTAATTTATAGGATGGAAATAAGTTCAGGTACCTAAAGACTTGGATTTGTTTTTTATCATCCTTTATGATGCTCTGATTTGAGGAATATTATTAATTTGGATTTCTGTCATTTTTTTTTATAAATATTGATGGGTTGAGAGATAGACATACATTTCATCATAACTTTTTTTCCATTCATGATTTTTGAAAAATTATACAAAGGCTACTTGTTTATTGTAGACAAACCAGATAATATAAACGAGCAAAGAGAGGTAAAGGCACATCCATCTGAAATCTTTTCACTTAATTACTTTGACATGCTTCATTTTGAGATACTTCTTATTTGAGGTTTTATAAATTAGATGACATTGGGTATTTGATAACAGTGACTGGGCAGGCTGACCTCTTTGTTATTTTTGTAGATCAGTTACAAAGAAAATAATTCAAGAAAGTTGTTACAGTTTCTTTTTGAAAATAAGACGATTTGTTTTTAAACAAGTAACACCAGTAAGTGTTACATTGTCGATGCATCGCTTGAGACAGTGACTTTTCTTCTGAAGCATAACAATAAACTACAAAGTACTAATACAACTACGACAACTTAAAATCACAGTTATTTTCAGCCATTATCTTCTAAAAGCATGTCTTCGGCTAGCAAGTGTTATTCAGAGCTCGATCTCGTGACTCTTTCCTCCAGGACCTTCTTGGTAGATTTTGTGTATTTTAGAGGATCAGGGCATTTTAGTACTGAGGAGAAACATAGTGATTACCTCGTTCATATCATTTGTTTTCCAGGTGAAAAAAGTTGGGGTCCAGGGGGAATTAAGTGATCTCTTGAGGACATTGCCTCAAAAGCTCTTACCTTGAATGAGTCATGCCCCTGCTCCTGGTTGGCAAGATCTGAGTTTGGTAAAACAGATCGAGGCTAGGTCCCACCAGTATGAACTCTTGTGCAGTGCCAAGCCCTTTCCCATATGTCACTGCCCTCCGTCTTTGGAGGAGTGCAGCGTTTCCCAGTTGAGAAGTAGGAGCCTTCCTTCGCTGTGACTTGCTTGAGATTACACAGCTGGAAGTAGCAGCCCTCAGACTTTTGAACAGACTTGATTTTTCACTGTGCAGAGTTGCCTCCTTGTTCATTTCTAAGACTTCTTCTGTCTTTAGGTTATAACAATGTTTAAAGAGCTAGAAAATCTAGACTGCACACAGTGTTATTAATATGTGTCAAATAGATAAAATACAAATTTAAATTTTAAAAAAATTAACTTTTCTTAACCCCTTTTCCTTCCACCAGCCTTACTGCCATGGCCCGTATTTAGAACTAATCATTTTTCTCCAGGACTGTTGGAAAAGCTAGTTTCCCTTCCACCAGGATCTTCTTCCACCTATACATCCTTTTTTTAACAGCTTTATCGAGGCACACAGTAAGCTGCACATGTTTAAAACGTACCATTTGATCAGTTTGGGCATGCGTACACCCTTAAAACCATCATCACAGTAAAGATCATGTACACATCTATCACCCCCAAAAGTTTCCTTAATGCCAATTGGTGATTCCTACCTCCGCCCCCCACCCCCAGACCACCCCTCTCTTCCACCGTCATCTCCAGGCAACTGCTCTCTGTCACTTCAGATTAATTAGAATCTTCTAAAATTGTATGTAAATGGAATCATCTGGTACGCACTCTTCTCTGTACAGGCTTCTTTCACTCAGCATAATTAATTTGAGATTTATTCACGTTATGCATTGATAGCTCATTCCTTTTTATATCAATTTGTTGATCTCTTCACCTGTTAAAATTTGTTGATCTCTTCACCTGTTGATGAATGTTTGGGTTGTTTTCAGTTTGGGGCTATTACAAATAAGCCTACTTTGAACATTCGTATATAAATTCTTGTATAGATATATGTTTACACTTCCCTTGGACAAATACCTTGGAGTAGAATGGCTGGATCATACGGTAGGCCTGTGTATATCTGGCAGTCTGGCACTCTCCCAAGTGGTTGTACCATTTTACATTCCCACCAGCAGAGTATAAGGGTTCTAGTTGCTATTTATTTTTGCCAACACTTGGTATGCTCAGCCTCTTTTGATTTCAGCTATTCTAGGAGTTGTGTAACAGTTTTAATTTGCATTTCCCTAATGGCCGATGATGTCGCGCATCTTTTCATGAGCTTGTTTGCATCATATTTTTTGTGTGTGAAGTATCTATTAAAATCTTTTGTCCTTTCGAAACTTTTTTGTCTTGAAAGGATTGTAGATTCTTGATTTTAGCTATTCATACTCTTTAACATTTCATTACATTGTCCGTTTTCATATTATTGAGTTTCGAGAGTTCTTTGTATTTCAGATACAAGTCTTTTATCAGATAAGTGATATGCAGATATTTTCTCCTAATCAATAGCTTGTCTTTTTAAATTCTTTTCTTTTTATTCTCTTAATAGTGTCTTTCGATGAGCCCCAAATCAAACTTTAGTATAAGAAAATCTTGTAGTTAGAAGAGACCTGATGTTTTGTCATTTGGATGTACTTAAAAAATCTTAAAATGGAATGTTGATGTTTTTGTAACGTGAACCTTCGTTGTTTTGGCCATTTGTATTTGAGCTGTAAACGGAGTCCCTTCTGATTCTGTTCTCTTCTGTTTTCTATTGTAGGCGAGGAGTTGTTTTTGGTCTCTGGAGTGCCTGTGCTTCAGTGGGTAATATTTTGGGAGCATGCCTAGCTTCTTCGGTTCTGCAGTATGGTTATGAGGTAGGTATTTCTAGCTTATTCTCAAGTATATGTGTGTGTGTGTGTGTGTGTATCTGTGTGTGTGTATCTGTGTGTATATATTTCATACATGTATGAAATAATACTGTGGCCATTTAAAACTAGCTTGAGCTGTGTCTGGGTGGGGCAAGGCCTGTGTTAAACTTTCAACAAATTTAAACACCTAAAAACATGATTCATGGAAAAATACCCAAGTCTAAAGACAAATAATCAATTTGGTAAAAGTATTGGCAACTCATGTTACAGAAAAAGAATGCTCACAAATTGATAAGAAAAAGACCAACACAAAAAAAAGGTAAAAGATTTAAACGTGTAGTTGATGAAAAGGAACTAGAAGCAGCTCGTAAACATGAAAAGAAATTCCACTCCACTCATAACTGCATCATTCCACTAATATTTATTGAGCTCCTCTAGGTGCCCTTTGTCAATGGAGAATAGATACTGGCCAAAAGGGACAAAAATCTCTGCCCTTATGGAGCTTAGGTGTTAGTTGGAGGAGAAATGCAAATTAAAATTACACGTAAAAAAGAAAGACACTACCCTGAATATTATTATTAGTAAAGATCCAAAAGTTCGATAACGTGTTTATGAGGATACGAAGGAATTGCAGCTGGGAAAGTAAATAACCCCTCTTGGGGTCAATATGGGACTGCCTGTCAAAATCATAACTGCTCTGCCCGAGCAGCCCCACCTCCAGGAGTTAATCCCACAGGTGGAATATACTTCAGCACGCACAAAATGATAGATAGGTTAATTATTTCAGCATTGTTTGTCATAGGAAGACATTGATAACGAATGACAAAACCAAAAGGGAAATAGACCGTGATACACCTATTCAGTGGAATGCTGTGCAGCTGTGACAGGATCGGGAAGC